CATCAATTTTGGTCCGCACAAATATTTTGCTCTTAGACGTAATGGCCCCTTATCCGCCTGAGTAGATATGAAATAGTTTATTTACTGCAAATGTTGTGTATACAAACGATCTCTGAAGTAATACGAGTAGTTTAATAAAAATCTTGCGTTATGAGACATGTGTTCCATTTTAAAAGATGTAAAATCTTTATTGTTTTTAAAACTATAAATATTGTGTGTGCGCGTATGCGCGTGTGCGCGTATGCGCGTGTGTGTGTGTGCGTGTGCGTGTGTGTGTGCGTGTGCGTGGGCGTGTGCGTGTGCGTGGGCGTGTGCGTGTGCGTGTCCGTCTGCGTGCGCGCGCGCGTGCCCGTTATTGTTTTTATACTAAATTTTATTTCTGATAACTGTTTCGATTTCATTTGAATGTCTTTTTCTGGGTGAGTATGATACTTATATTGTAGCATCTCGCCTCGCAGTATAAGGATATATGGATGAAGTAAAAATAATTATATTAAACTTAAAACATAGTAAGTTCTTAAAATTCCCGTTATACATGTAAGTATATAAAATGTTGTCACAATTTAGTAAAAACCTAAGATATCCTATGTTATGCTGCGTCCCTCTTTAAACATCTCTAAAAGCTTAACTGCAGTTGCCAACCCGCCTGTCAAGCGTGACAAATACTGGAAAAACTCCTTAGGGAAGGCTTATGCTCAGCAGTGGACAGTTAATAACTGAAATAAAATCTTGTATTACGAGAAACAGGTGACAAACATCTGGTAGCACAGTCTAAAATACTAGAAACTTCATCTCCTAAATAGGTCCGACCGTGAATAGAATTCGAGACTTCATGTGCGCAAACCAACGTGACTATCACTGCGCCACAGACGTCTTCATTCGAAGTCTAAAATTCCATTCCACATAACTGATATAAATCTTTCATTTACAAACTTACGTCTTTGTGCTGCTGCGATCATTTTAGCTTAATTTTCAAATACTTCGTTATTCGAGCATTATTAAACTCGGGAATGCAGGATGAATTTGTTAGAAGTCTCATATCGTGGAGCAAGTCCTTAGTGCTGCAATAGATACTTGATAAATTTAGTTTTTAATTTAACTAAGCTACTTTCTACTTTAAATCGCTTTCTTTTTTGCATTTACTCGCAGCTTTGAGACTTCAATTAAAAATGTAATAGAAAAGGGAATGCCCTTTACGAAGATTTTTGTGTTATGACCTCACGTGAATTATGTATGCAAATAATAAGATAATTTATGGAAGACCAAGTAGATGAGTTGTTATTGGGTGCAGTAGTCGTGAACAATGTGAGAAAAAACAGAATAAAATAAATTTAATAAGTAGTTTTTATTTATTAATTTTACATTGGAATATGAATTTCCACGTCTTTGAAATCAATTTCCAGCAGCAATATTTCCGAACTGATTCGACATCATAACCTTCAAGAAAAGAGCATATTCCTTTTTAAAAAGCCAGCAGCACACCTGCAATGCTTTTGGTGTTGTGGGTGATCATTAACGGAGGTAGTCACTTTTAATGAAAAATGTTTAATGAAAAAATAAGTTCCAAATAAAATATTTGCACGCCACACGGTTGAATGTAGAGATTTTTTTTAATATTAAATGTTTATAATGTAATTACATCTATTTATTTATTTATACTTTTGCACACATTGAAATATGTTTACAGGACGCACTTAATGCCTGATGGCATTCTCTACCAAATAAAGTTATCATTCATTCATATGGTAAATCTTGGCGAGAATAACGTAACTATTGAAATTACAGTAGAAAAATAGTCGACATAAAATAGAAAAAAAAAATATATAAAAATATAACAATGTTTTTAGAACAATTATTTACTGAATCTAATATATTATATGAAATATTGATAGATATGTTTTCTACTTATACAATAAAGAATAAGAAACCTCACGATATTATAAAATTTCTTGTCAAATTAAAACTATGTTTCTATTGGGTTGAAAACCTCGTTTCAAAGAGTAGGGTTTACGGTCTAATGGATGATAGCATTTTTTGCAAACAACTACGTCAGCGGGTTTTTTGATATTTTTACTCGATTTTAGAATTTAAAATTGCCCGTAGATGTAAGATCAAAATTTATATTAGCTTCATTATTGAATTCATGTAAAATTAAAGCTGACACCAATTAAAATACGTAGACAAGGCATGCGTTATAACATTATTCGTTTTATACTAGCTGTTATTCGCAGCTTCGTCTACGTGAGGCTAAGTAACAAACATACTTCCAAACGGTCAACCTTCGGATTGATTTTCACCGCCGTACAACCCGCCATAAACTTAAGTATCATCTCTACCATCTGGACGAGTGGTGGTCTTCCACCGTACGTTTTTCAAGGCACTTTCATCCTCGCACAACCACCCTTATGGAATCAACTTCCAGCAGCAGTATTTCCGAACCAATACGGCATCATAACCTTCGAGAAAAGAGCATATTCAATTTTAAAAGGCCGGCAGCACACCTCCAATGACTGGCGTTGCAGGTGATCATGGGCGGCGGTAGTCACTTACCATCAGGTTAACCGCATGCTCGTTTGCCCACTGTGTAAAAAAAAAACATACTGAGTTTGTACCAAAAAAAAAAAACATTTTTACAAATTTTCACAGTTATAGTAAACATTAGTACTATGTACTATATACATACTGGCCGTGTGGTCCCGGCATAGAATAGGCCACCCCTTCCTTTTCCGTGGGTGTCGTAAGAGTCGACTAAGGGTGGGCGAGGGATGGACAGCAGCAGTCCTCTTAAAACATCTCGAAAGCCTAACTACAATTGCCAAACCGCCTGCCAACCATGGCAACTAATGGTAAAACCCAGGGAGAGGCTTATGTTCAGCAGTGGGCAGGTTAAAGCTGATATGATGATGATGATGAAGGAGTTTTGTGTACCTTGTAATTTCATTGGCAAATTGGAATATTAAAGCGTGGGCCCTTCTAAGAGAAACATTACCATGCCCACGAAATTGCTTAACGGCAAAATCACGTATGGGACAGAGGTACCCAAGCAGATAACTTTTATACAAAGTCTCCCCTTGGTAAATAATCTTGTTTTATCTAAATTGTGTATTAATCTTATAGGTGCGACCTTGCCTACCCTTGACAAGGGCTGGGCAATTTTCACGTAGCCTTTAATTGGGCAAACAAATTGCCCTGTCTGTCACGGTGCCTATTATGTCTCGTGACGCAATTATTTAACCTCTTTCGATGAATTTAGGTATCAGCGAGCTGAGCGAGTAGTGCTTAAATATACACATATGGCTGGATCTATAATAATCTTAAACATTTTTATTTCGGACTTTAAAGTCCATTAATATTTATTAGTAACAATATTCTTAAAGCTAATGTTAATAAATTTACACACACACACACACACACACACACACACACACACACACACACACACACACACGCACGCACGCACGCACACGCACACGCACACGCACACACATGCGCACACGCACGCGCGCGCACACACACACACACACACACACACACACACACACACACACACACACACACACACACACACACACACACACACATTCACATACACACACATGTATATTTATGTATGATAATTAAATAAAAAAAAATATATATACGTTTTTTGTAGAGACATATATATATATATATATATATATATATATATATATATGTATGTATCTACAAAACTGAATTTTAAAACCGAGTTTAAAACTGAATTCAACACCTGCTTATATGAGACAAAAGAATATCTACTCCAGATACCTAGTAAAGTAGATAAAGTAAACCGACTTTCAATTTCAATAACGTAAGAGACAGGTGCAAGGATAGAGATCCTTGCACCTGTCTCTTACGTTATTTATTTTACCAACTGCCCTGATGCATTCACGGCGCCCCAGGATATTCTTAACTCTTACGGACAAATAATGACTAAGTTCAAGAGATAAACTTTTAACTGGAAATTGAATAATGAAAGCAAGCCTTCCCTTTTAGATGTTGAAAACTGAATTAAATCACTTTTTCATCTCCAAACCTAATCTCCGCCATTGTGTATCCAGTCTGGCCCTTTTATATTGAAATAAGAAATATCTAAAAAGAAAAAAAAAGCTTTATTAAAATGAATAATTAAAATTCAAATGTTACAATAATCCAAAAACTGTCTAGAGATTAAGTAATCAAATAAAAAATATATATTTTTTTTTTCTTTTTTATGCAACTTAGAATGGCAAACAAGCTCACGGCCCACCTGATGGAAAGTGGTAACCGTTGCCAATAGACATAAACAGTGCCATGGACATAACAGAATATACTGTTTCGCCCATGATACCCATGCGTTCCCATTCCTTAGGACTCAGGTGTTATCCCTCTGTACCATGTAAATTAACTGCCATATCTCATCCTTTTAACCGAAACACAGGTATGCAAACACAACTGCTTCACGGTAACAACACATATGGGACAGAGGTGCCCAAACAAACGACTTTGTACAAAGTCTCTCTCTGATAAATTTAAAAATGACACCTAAATTTGAAAAAAAATTAAATATGTCCTATAATCGACTTGGCTAGTACATAAGATGCATATATTTTGGTAGTTACATGAATCGATCAGTTTGTGAATTTGATCTGGTGTAACAAGTAAATTTTGCTCTGCGATAAAATGACAGTAACTTTAACCTTCACAAAATTAATAATAGAGTTAATGTGGGAACAAACGTAGGGTTGGTAAAATACACGAAAGTACATGGAAATAGAGAAATCGTTTAAAAATAAATATATAACACCAAAACTCGCGTCATTTTAGACTTTTTAATGTTTCACTGACTCGCACCCAGTACAGAAGCAATTGTTTCATAATAAGCGCTTCCATATATATATATATATATATATATATATATATATATATATATATATATATATATATATATATATATATATATATATATATATTATGCACTAAAAATGGCATTTTGTTTGCAGGTTCAATAACAATCCTGTCGTACGCGTGTATGGGACGGACGCTGTGTTCAGTCAGACCACCCTTCGACATCGACGAGGGTAACGTTAGTATGCAACAGGTTAGTGTTTTTATTATCCATTTAACTAGTTTAGTGTGAGCGCTGTGTTTAATTTAATCATTTATTTTTAGGCTTCCGTATCAAAATTGTTCTAAATAAGCTTTATAAAGATAGTGCTGCACGATTGTCCCTCCGTTTCATAATTTAAAAATAAAAAAAAAATAATAAAAAAAAAAACATCGAAAATATCTAAGTAACTTTAAACGCTGTTAATTTTAAATTTTAAAAATTTTACCAGAGGGGACTTTGTACAAAAGTCGATTGCTTGGGTACATCTGTCCTATTCGTGTTTCAACCGTGAAGCAGTTGTGTTTGCATGGCTGTGTTTCGGTTTGAAGGGTGAGATATGGCGTGAATTTACATGGTACAGAGGAATAACACCTGAGTCCTCAGGAATGGCAACGCCTGAGTGGTATCATGAGCTAAACAGTATACTCTGTTTTGTCCATAGTACTGCTCATGTCTAAAACCGACGATTACCACTTTCCATCAGGTGGGCCGCCAGCTTGTTTGCCATTCTAAGTTGTATATAAAAATTGGAATAGTTTAAGATATTATTAGTCAACTCATATTACAATGAAATTATTTGAAAAATAATTTTATTTTACTTTCTTTACTAGCTGAATCGCTAAGTTCAAAAAGTGATGCTCAAAACTTTAAAACGGAGACAAGAATTGATTCTTTGCTTCTTTTTAAAATTTTGAGATGTTTTTTAATCTATTTGGCGAAGAAACATAGCAACTTGAATGGTTATAAAATTATTTATTTATGTATTCGTTAGTACAAGACAAGTATTCTCTCCCAGTCAAACTTGGAGAAGTGCCGAGTGGTCTCGGCATAAACTTGGTCACCCCTTTCTTTCCCGTGGGTGTCGAAAGAGGCGGCTAAGGGGATTTAATGATCGAAAGTTGTGCAGTAGCGTTTCTCATAAAACATTACTAAAGCCTAACTGTGGTAGCCAACCAACCCGCCTGTTAAATGTGGCAACTGGAAAATCCTCCCAATATATATATATATATATTAGCACTCATTGTCAGCCTACCCCGAAAGTAACTTGAATATAGATTGATTAAAAAGACATCAGTGAATGTAATTTAATGTCATAATAACAAAACAATCAAGCTGTGAAAATTTTACATATATTATAAAATTTTATTAAATTACATATCCAATAGCTAGAATGTTTACGTATGAAAATAAAATTCATTTTACGTCGACATAACATTTGTACTTCATTTCAGTGATGCGTTCAAAAGTATTGAATTATGAACGGTACTGTTCCGCGCAATCAACGGACTTTACGCTCTTTGTCTTTTATATTTTATATATTTATTTTATATATAAGGTGTTACTAAATTATTTGCATTCCCTACTAAGGGATATAGTATTAGATATATACATTAGGATAAAAAAGGAATTTATTTATTTATTTCTTACATCCACTGGGTGAGCCTTAGTCAGTCTTCCAATACGCTCACCCAGGAAAGCATGAGTACAATAACATATAAAAAGGAATATTACATAAAAATAACAAAAATAATATAAAAAGATTTAACTCTAACAAAAAACGTCCGAACACAAATACTCTGTGGTCACTCGACGAAACTCCAGCAAGTTGGAGGCAAATACATCCAATTGCGGATACTGGCTCAAAATATCATTGAGTAGTTTCAATGCAAGAGATAGGGGAGCTTGCTTAGCCAACTCTGTTCTTCTTAATGGAACATCGAATAAGTGCCATCTACGTGCTTTAATATCGAAGTAGTATGAAATTATCCTAAAAAATATAAAATGATAAAATACTTAAATTTCTTCATTGCTTCTAAAACGTCCTCGTAAGTATATTTTTCTCTGTCTTATCGTAGGTCGCGCTCACTCCGTCAGTTTTAGCGTAACGTTTTTTAAAAGGCACTTTTTATATATAGTGAAAAATTTATATTTATTAATTATATATATATATATATATATATATATATATATATATATATATATATATATATATATATACTCACTATTTTACTTTAAATGATGTTATAAAGAATAAGTAAATAATAATAATATGGTTTTATCCATATTATAAAAAGATTTGGTTTTTAGTTTTACGACCGGCCACCTGCCTGACGTCAACCCTCTTTGGGAAATAAAATATATATACTCGTATTGTAATATAAAAGTGAATCGTTGTATATATTTATTTATATTAATTAAAAGTGGCTTAACACAGACTAGTAAATATGCTTTGTGCATTCAGTCATAAATATTGTTGTGATCATCGTATCGTAGTTCATTATTTGTTTGTAATAATAATTGGTCGCAAACAAAACCATTGCTTTTCAATACAATTACAGATATTTGAAAGCACTTAAAAACGCTTTCAATAGGTATATCTAAATAAATTATTTCGTACATTAAAAAATAAATATGTGAAAAAAAATATTAGTATGCATTTAAAGGAGTATTTCTGTTAAGGAAATAGAAAATTTTACATAATGGAAAATGGGTCGGAAATGACAAAATATTTTGAGTCACGCATATTAACTTGACAAGGGAATACGCTATGGAATACAATGATTTTTTTTATACAACTTAGAACGGCAAACAAGCTGACGGCCCACCTGATGGAAAGTGGTAACTGTCGCCTATAGACATGAGCAGTACCATGGACATAACAGAGTATACTGTTTCGCCCATGATACCCCCATGCGTTGTCATTCCTGAGGACTCAGGTGTTATTCCTCTGTACCCTGTAAATTCGACCAATTTTCTTATATGAACAATATTCGGAATTTAAATTCACTAGTTTTATATAATACAGTAGTTTTAAAGATTTAAGCATACATAGGGACGGACAGATAGCGACAGCGACTTTGTTTTATACTATGTAGTGATGATTATGACAAACGGTAGGATTTTTTTTAAAGTAACGATGTGTTAAGAGACTCCAGATAATCAATAGATAAAGGTACATCCCAGAACAACCAGACACGAGGCAATTTGGAAATATGTATGGTATATTCATTCTAAAATCGAACCCTGAATCTCATTTACGTGTCACGACCAAACCATGTTTAAACAAGGACAGTAATAATGCAAGTTTTTAACGGATTTTTATTGGACCCTTGGGTCTTTTTGAATAACAATGGGGTGTGATTAATTTGTTACAAAGTAACTGTGAAGTTGATCTGCATGCCCTGATGCACTCAAAACTTTCAGCTGTAAATCACAAATCTACTTATCAAGGTCCAGTTTTTCATAATCTGTCTATAGAAAATTCCAAGGTATTATTATGTAAGGGGAAAACTTTTTTAATCAAATTTGAGGTAAAGATATTATCTTTTTGTAAGTAACTTTCAAGGTTTGATTCTAAACCGATTTTGATTATTCTTTTTGCAAGTGATTAATTTAATTCAACATTCAACTTCTGTGAATAGGTATACATACATATATATATATGATGATGAACCTCCTATATCTATATGCTATATCTAATATCCTTTTAATGGGGATATATTAAAGGTTGGCTGGGAGAGAATGCTATATAGTATGCTATATAAAAAAAAACAAAAGGCGTACTTAAGTACGCCTTTTGTTTTTTTTATGCAACTTAGAATGGCAAACAAGCTGATGGCCCACCTGATGGAAAGCGGTAAACCTCGCCTATAGGTATGAGCAGTAGCATGGACCTAACAGAGTATACTGTTTCTCCCATGATACCCCCCATGCAATGCCATTCCTGAGGACTCAGATGTTTCTTTTTTATGGGTGAAAATAGAATGGTAACCTCGCCTGCGTTAACGGGATACGCTGGCGGAGCACCAGTAAAGGGTGACTGATGAGAATGAAAACAGGCCAGTTAGCCCATCATGATGAATTCATCAGGAATTAACCATGATAGTTTCCAGGGGGAACCGCGAGGAGGTCGACCTGGTTGGGTATATTGCTAGCAATGGGATTCTTAGTCTCCATTACTAACAATCCTTTTCCCCCGGACTCAGGTGTTAAATCTCTGTACCCTGTAAATTCATTACCATATCCCATCCTCCAAACTGAAACACAGACATGCAAACACAACAGCTTCATGGTTGAAACAGGAATGGGACAGAGGTGCCCAAACAAACGGCTTTTCTTATGATGATTGACATTCTAATATTAAACGATTTCAAATTAATATTTATACAAATATTTATGTCAATATATTCAAACCCAGAACAAGTCTAAAATTAAAATACCAAAATATAATAAATTATAATTCACTATTGGAAATACCGATATTTTAGATATTAATAACTTGTTGGAAGTCCATTATGTTTCTCCTAACGAAGCTTTAATGGTATCACTATACTGTATCCATATTATGTGGCATCGTGCATAAATAATTCTGAATTATCTATTATCGCTCGATATATCCATGTATATGTGTTTTAATTAATGGTATCCTGTTATAACCTCATTCACAGTTAACTATGATGTTTCGTATACCATACTGCATATTGAATTTCCTGGAAACGTGTTGAAACGCGTCGTAAGCAATGATGGCTTATTAATCTGTCATACTCGTGAACGAGTGCTACTTGTAAGGGTTGATCTACTTGAGTTAATTATAACTGATTAGCTTTGTTTGTATTTCTATATATTTATACTGTATGTTAGTAATTACATAAAATTCAACTTGTATTTATAAAGAGGGGTGAAGAGCAACAGCTGAGTTTCATGCACATTTTCTTCAATTTAAACCATATATACCTATATGTACAATAGAGAATAGAAGAGCCAAAATGCTGGGTCTGGGTCATCTTATACGACATGGCGGTTTTTTTAAGAGCATAGTAGAAGGAAAAATGGAGGGCAAAAGAGAAAGAGGAAGACCGAGGAATAACTACATGGGGCAGGTAAAAGAAACACTAGGGGTCATGTCGTAAGGGGAGGTCAAGGATATGGTCTGGGATAGAAATAGCTGGAAGAAGATGCATGAATTAGTTGCACCGACAAGAGGAAACTCT